ATATGCAAAAGTATTGGTCAGATGCAGTGTTAAACTCGTATATGGACTCTGTCTACATAATTGTGTTTATAAGAGCTGAATCATGTTATTTTGTAAAAGCAAAAAGATTTGGGATTGGATTTTGTTCTGTGTCTTTATGATTTACTGAGGAATTCAGAAGTTTTTCTTCCAGTTTAATGTTAAAGGTAAAATCATAAGCAGTTTTAAACGACAATTGGAAACTATGGTATCACATGAGACAAGACAATGAAAGACAGGGAACTGAAAGAAAAATTGTTTACCTTTTGACATTAGGAGAGCTGGTGATCTTTAAAGAATCCCAACCCAATGTATTAGATGACATATGCTAGATCACGTGTCATTTAACACGTATTAACTAAATAAGATAAACAGCAGAGAGCTTTGGCTTCAATAAGATTACTTAAAAGGTTAAAGTCATTCTCAGTGGAGTCAAAACTTAAAATAAAGTTATCTTTCTTTGGATAGAAAAGCCCTCCCTCAATTCAAACTTTTACATAATATAAATAGTCTGAGACTGATGTACAGTTTTATGAAACTAACTTCTTATTTCATCTGGAAAACATGGAAATAGAAAAATGTTTTTAAAATTGCAAATGTAGTCTAATCCAGATTGTGTATTAGAAATCTTAATCGCTTTACCTTGCTGAAATAGAAAAGCATGTAGAAAGTTTATAAATCCAAGATCTTGAGATACGTTCAGCCCTCATGCTAAACAAAGAAATAAAAAGGGAAGTTTTGATTTCGGCTATTCATTGTACTTTTATTTGTAGAACATTTTTATACTGTTATTTGGGTGTTCAATTGTTCATGAACTTCTAATATCTTAATGTAGCCAAAATAAGAATAATCATGCACATTAAATGTACGGCACTATTGAAATAAAGATAAAAACAAACCCAAGAAACTAGTTGTGACTATGGGAACTGGAAGAAGTTAGGTGACATTTCTACTTTAGTGAACAACTGTCACTAAGATACAATTAACCATGGATAACTTAGTCTCAAGCAAAAGCTGATTTTGCCACCTGGCCTCTTGTAGGTCAAGCAGCTGGCAGTTAGCTAAAGTAACTCAGACTGAACCCAAAATGTAATGAGACAATAAGCATCTGCTGCAATGATTTATGACTTCTTAAGCAAGGCTGGAGGTGAAGCAGAAAACAGCATAGTAGCTAAAAAAAAACAAAACAACTGCTGAATTGAGTGAAAATAGGACAAGCAAGGAACTGGGAAAACTGCAAAAAGTGACCAGAACAGCCAACCTGTGAACATCCAGGACATTTAGAGATCAGATATGATTTCCTTAAGGATTATACATCTCTGGCATGTTTCGCACGGTTGTATATGCAGCTAGTAAAACTTGTCCATTATGTTATGGACAGTCCTTTGGTCACTGGCTGCTCAACTACTCAACCCCCACAATGAGAGTTTGAACAATGGATTTGGCAACCATGGGTGGGTTCAAAGGATCAATGAAACAAAGCTTTTTGGATTGAATGACTGAGACCCTTCCAGTTGCCACTGATCTCAAACCCTCTATTTAATGGGGCCTATTCCACCACTCTGCAGGGCTAATATCTTACCTCCCTCAAAAATAACTCATTTTTCCTAGGAACAAATGACCTAGAAACACCAATTTACATCAATTTTTACTTCAGAACTCTCCATACATAACAGTTTCCATTCACATAGGATTCCTGGGATTAAATGAAATTCTTAATACTTAAACTAATACTATAATCCAATTTTTCTCAGACATAATTATCCATTAGCAGTTACAGACAATAACTCTAGATCATTTACATGCCATGACTTTCTCATCAACAAATACATGAACTTGGATTTTAATTCCAATCAGTCATGAAATTATTCAACTAAAATTAAGTTCTGAACTCCAGTTTTGCTCCAAATCACTTCCTATCTACTTAGCTTTCTGTACATTTAGCTTACTTCTCTGAGCATAACTTTATTTGCAGGAACATGTACACCCTCCGTGTGCAAGCCAGACTGTGCACTGAAGACTTCAAGCTTGCTTCTCCTCCTCTCCTGCTGCTACTTACACTCCCTTAAGACTTTGAGTCCACTGGGCAATCTCACTCCTTGCAAGCAGTATAAATGGGTCCGAATCACAGGAATTACCACCTAGCACAGCTGTTATGCACAAGAGACATTACTGCAATGGGTAAGCTCTTCTGGCACTTTGATTTTTCTGTCATGCAAGAGAGAATGATGCAGACAGGTCAGTGTTTTCTATAAAGCAGGTTCTGTGCTTTTTTCAGGGGAAACCTTATGGTGGAAGTCCCTGGGCCACTGCGTATCAATTTCATTTTAGGTTTTGTCAGATTCTTCTGTTTCAGCATTTCCATGCAGACAGGTAAGGCACAGCTTGCCCAGGTTTTCTAAAACCTCTGTCAAAACAGGAACTTTCATTGAGTTCTCTTCAAATTTTTAAGCAGGCAGGTTCAAATCACTGGTACAGCCAATAAGAGTACAACAGTACGTACCTTTAATCAGTCATGTCACGACTCTTAATTATGAGACCATTAGAACCGTGGCTATAGAAGAAAAGTCTTTTATAGAAAGAACAGGGGGATAGACAAATCTCAGGGACAGAAAAGACTGAGAGGATGTGAAACTCAAATATCTATTTCTACCAGTCTTCATTTTAGCTGTTGGGTATGCAATCGCCAATTGTGGAAAGTCTCTTTGCATTCATAACTACAGTCTGCGTAACAAAGACATGAGAGTAGAAAGGTTTCTCAGCAGGAACATATCCTGTCACAGCTGATTCCAACCAGTGTGTAGGAAAGAATTGTCTTTATCTTACCGTGTTTGTGATCAGAAATATTTATTTCTTTGTTGCCATTTACAGAGTTTAACATGGAAACATAAAAATCCTCCAAAAAAATCAGTGGAAACAGTTTTACAGTCATTCTTTCAGAAACCAAATGCACTATAAATCAGCAGGAAAAATATTTCCATCAAGTTTTAGTTGTTACTTTTTGTAATTCTAGTCATCGGATTGAAGTCTGAAAATTCCTACTTATCCGTAAAATACATGAAAGAGCTGGTATCACTGAGGAAAGATTTTCTACCTTTGCTTTTTCTTGAAGGGATCAAGTAATGTGGAAAGAAATACCTGAGGATTAATTAAAATAATCTGCTCAACAAAGTACGGTAAGCCATGACTAAGCATAAAGGTATTTCAGCGTTCTGTCTTTGCAATTTTGTAGTATTTGTTAGAATTTTTAGAAATACTTTAGGAAGAGATTAAGAATTCCTTGTGACTGCAGCTTACAGCAAAATTTACAATCAGGTGGAAAAAAAACCCAAATGCATGAAACAATTATTTTTTTATAGTTAATTTCTCATTATGTCCACATAACTGAAAACTGCTGAATTAAATTCACACCACTGATAAAGCTCAATATTAATATAAATAATATTATTTCAGGTATACGTTATCAATGTCCCTTAATTGTAAGACCTGATTAGAAGATAAAATCATTTAAAATACCTAAAACCAGAAGATGTAGTTGGTTATAATGTATATAGAATTTTATAAATTATACTTGAAATAAGAACTGAGATGAGAGAAGACGCAGGTATGCATCCGGACAGCAGAACACAGAACTAGAAATTCTGGCAAAATCATCTTTCATTATTCTATTTAGTGAAGTGCAGCTGTATTAAATCTGGAGATGACAGTTCACTTAATGAGTGGAACAAATCAGCAGTTTGACAAGTCTTGCTTCCTCACTTTTTCCTGTTTCTCTTGGTTTTGATTCAGTTCCTTCCTTCCCACTTTCAGTAATGCAGTTTCCCCACCCTGTCTCACTGTCCAGGGTACACCATCCATATAATCTCAAGATTAAAGATTTAATGAGCTCAACAGCTTCTGGTTTCCCAAGCTAGTTTTCTGGCATTTTAGTGAGCTGGCTATGCTCATGTGCAAGGTAAGAAATACACCGTTTTTGCCAGAACTGGGGAAAGAGAAACAAGATAGGGATTTCCCCCTTTTTTCCCCCAGAAAGTTATTAATGTGCCTACAACTATTTTGTGTGACCCCATCTTATTACCATTTTTTTAAAGAGGAAACATACTGTCCATTCATCAATGCATAGGCTGTATCAAAGTTTCAAGATCTGTTAATATCTGCAGGGGAAAAGAAATGAAGACAAAACTTTTCTGTTCAATAAATGGAGGAAAGAAAAAAAAAAGTGAATCTGAAGATTTAGAGAAATCTCTAGTTGAAAGAAGCAATCCTGAAAGTTAACTCTGTCAAGTAAAACACTCTAGAAAGGTCATTGTAACTTTCCCATCTTGGAACAAGGAAGTAATGTTTCCTCTTTTATGAGTTTAACTGAACTATAAGAGTCGATTATGTGCTCCCTAAGAGATAATACTTTCACAAATGACAAATCAGGATTCACCTCAGTTAACCAGATGCCTATAACTGAGCTTGTAGCTGAGCTATACAGGGTCCCTATATGATCAGTGAAGGGAAATGGGCTCTTACAGAATGTGACTCATCTCACCTATGTTAGATAACGAATAAGACAAATTTCTCTGAGAAGTGCCTACTTCACTGCCTATGGACAAGGAGTCTTAGCAGGCTGTTGTAAGTATCCACACTAGAAGAACTGCAATCACAGTAACCAGTGGGAGAAAAAAAAAAAAGAGATGGTAACTGAGCCTTGTCATTACAGACAACTGCAAATACCCTATAGGCGCGTCATCTATGGAGAACCAAGACTTTACTCATATCCAAGTATGACACCCAGCCTTTTTTCATGAAAGCCCACTCTTTCCCAAATCACCATAAAAATAATGAATCTTGTTCATCTTGATGAATTTAAGACTTGGACCTAACATCTGAATGAGATGTGTCTGAATGAGGCACTTTCTTATAATAACACAGTAATGAAAGATTACGGATAATTGAAAAAAGTATATACTGCAGTAAAAAATAAATATAGCTGTAAGTCCAACATGCTTTTTATGGTTTATGTGTGGATGTATGTACAGAACAGCTACCCCAGATGACCAATAGGAAAGCAATCTTATGTTTGCTGCTAGTTTTTATTAACAATTTTTGGCAACTTCCACATTCTGTTTGATTTTGCTTCTCAAACCAAGTTCATAACATGGTAAGTGGAATTCATACACCTGGAGATGAAGCAGCAACCCTGTTCTTCATGATTTGAAGGCTGGGAAAAGATAAGCCAGAGTAAAATTTGGTTGAGAAGGAGCAGCTCACTGGACACAGAGAGCAGAACTGATCTGAAAGTTTATGATTACTAGTATTTACTGATTGTAACCAAATAAAAGATTCCAACATCAGACAGACGATATACTTGTACTTATGCACATGCCTTTATAATCTGTGAAAACATTTTTTCTTCTAATCATAATATTTAAGATTTTTACTGACAGAAAAAAAATAATTTCACAATATTAAGTAAATTGTGTACTATAAAACAGCATACATGGCACCTTTTATAAATTAAGCATTAGTTAAGCTACTAATGCATTTATTACTTCTAATATCATCACACTGATGTATGGAAAGAAATACTAAGACCTTGCAATTTAACTTCCCCTGTCAATCAGGCCAAGGTCAGGGATATAAATACCTGTGAAAAGAAACAGGTAAGGGGACTACACAGGATAGAAACATTTAATTTTAAATCTAAGGAGTGCTTTCGTTTTTGAGAAATTCTTATAATTATTTTGCTTTAGACAAGAACACCAATTTTCACTTTCTATTATGGAGAAATGTAAAAAAAAAAAGAAATCATAATTTTGTTACAAAACATAGGGTACAATTTCATGTAAAAAATGGAAGAACTAAATGTGCTGGCAGACTCTCTTAGTTTTGTTGCCTGAAGTGCTTTAAAACAGAAATGACAGCTTTTTCATAATGGTAATCACATAAAGATTTCTTTTCTTAATATGTGTAATTATGTAAATTCTGGTTTTGATACAACAAAGGGCTATTGCATTGTGGTTGGATACCTATACAACAAAAAGTCATGCGGTTTGATTTTTCTGTATCTGTTAAGATATACTGTTTTGTATTGATATTTTCTTTCGTTCTGAAGCAGACCACAAAACACATCAGAAACCCTCTGAATGCCTTACCTTTCCAACTGATAAGGAAAACAAAGAAAATATATTTCGAGAAGGCTGTAATCAAGCCAAACAGTGCAATATAAAAGGAAACTTTCTGCATGAATATGATGGAAATGGGAATTTCATGCATCCAGCACCAGGCTAAAATTTAAGTGTTCTCACATACTCTGAGTTTGAAATAACAAAACAGTGACTATGTGGTTCATCATTACCTCAGCTCTAAAGTACTGCAAGCATGCTGTGTAAGACTGGCCATGAAAAGCACTCTATCATTTAATGCAAATAGTCTCACACTCTCAGAGGAAATGGCCACTACAATATCCAGAAAATCAGAATGCATTTAAGGTAGGAAATTAAGACGTATTCAGGGAAAAAAAATAATCCTGCATTTCCCTCTAACTTTTTGTGCAGACCTTTTATTATTTAACTTTGGAAATCCTGTTCTTTCACAGCCTTCTGAGTTTCTTGAAAGTGTAAAACCATGATAGGATGCCATAAAAAAAATGTAGAAACATGTCTGGTCTATCACAATTACATTTCTTCGTGCACCTTCAAAAATTGTAATTTGTCCCTACTATGCATGATGAAAATTGCAGCCTTCTTCCACAATACATATGTCAATCCATAAACATTTCATATTCGTACCTACATGGCTCTCCATTCACACTTTAGAATTCTGATCCAACCCTCAAATAAAATAAAGTAGAATAAAATCAGATAAACAAGTTTATTTCATAAATACAAAAAACAGATTTAGTATTTATTTATTTATTAGGGACTGGAATTCCTCACCTTAGTAGGAAAGCACAAGATTTTTAGGACTGTAATACTGACAGTAGGACTAGGATGATGACAGTGTGTGTGACATACTGTGGGAGACCAGGAAATCTGAAAGCAAGCAGCAAACAATAATGCACCCCAGGTAAACTCAAGGTTGCCTTTGCTGAGGCAAAAGTTTATAATACTATACTGCATTATTTCAGTTAATCTAGCCAGAAAACCCACGAGGAGAGATAATTCTAGAGTTAGTCCTCTTAGTCCTCCACCAAAAGAAAAAAAAGGAGGAGCTTTCCTTACAGGAGATACACTTGAAAATCTGTTTCAAATGTGCATTACAATAGAAGATTTGGAACGTAAGAACAAAATTAACCGTTGCAAATTGCCAAAACTAAAGGAAAAGTACTCACTAGTTTTGACAGAACACCCCTCCAAAGTAACTAAAATGTTATTGTAGATGTGCAAGCTGTCCAAAGTAAGTTGAAGTAAGTTGCTAGCGTACATGGCCTGGGTTCCCCTCCTGCCCTGAATATAATCTAAGTACTAGTTCTGCTTCCCACTCATTTGTAGTCTGACGACATTTTCTCACACTGCAAATGAATTCAGTTCAGTGTGGGAAAAGTTGCATAGAATTGTCACAGAAAAAAAAACGTAAGTGAATATCAAATGCCAACAGAAAAGACACTTATTAATGTCCCTTCAGTTTAAAGACAAGGATGTTGTGCAGGACCGTGTCAAATGCTTTGCACACGTCTAGGTAGACAATGTCAACTGCAGTTCTGTAGCCCCATCATAGAAAGCCACCAAATTGGTCAGGCAGGATTTCCCCTTTGCATATTTTTCATGTGCCTTAGCATGCCTTCCAGGAGAATCTGCTCCAAGATTTTGCCAGGCACAGAGGTGAGACTGACTGGTCTGTAATTCTCCTGGTCATCCATTTTCCCCTTCTTGAAAATGGCAGTTATATTTCCCTTTTTCCAGTCGTTGGGAATTCACCTGACTGCCATGGTTTTTCAAATACGATGGACAGTGGCTTAGCAACTTCAATCACCAGCTCCTTCAGGACCTGCAGATGGATTTCATCAGGTCCTATGGACTTGTGTACATTCAGGTTTTTAAGATGATCTCGAGCTTGATCCTCTCCTACAGTAGGCCTAGGGTCTTCATTCTCACAGTCCCTGCAACTGTATTCCAAAACTTGAGCAGCGTGGTCAGAACACTTGCCGGTGAAGACTGAGGCAAAGAAGTCCTTGAGAACCTCAGCCTTCTCCAAATCAAGGGTTGCCAGTTCTCCCATGTCCTCCCCAAGAGGGCCCATGTTATCCCTAAACTTTCTTTTGGTAGCAACATACCTACATAAGCCCTTGATACTACCCTTGATGCCCCTGCCAGGCTCAATTCTATCTGGGCCTCAGCTTTCCTGACATGATCCCCAGCTTCCTGGACAACGTCCCTGTATTCTTCCCAGGCCGCCTGTCCTTGCTTCCACATTCTATAAGCTTCTTTTTTCCTTCATACCTGAGGAAGCAGTATGATCTTCCAAAAAATGCTTTGTAAGTTCTTATTTTAACCCCAGCAGAAGAGTTTAGCTGCACTGAATCAAAGTGACTTATGCTGGTTTAAACCAGTTGAAAATCCAGACCAATAAACTTAGACTACCTTCTGATAATACTCCCATTTAGAAAAAGTGAAAGTCAATACACTGAAGGGCAAAACTTGAATGTGACTGCGAATTCTACACTCAATGATTCTAGTAAACTTACTGCCTTAGTAGCAGAGTTCTTAATCATATCCTCTCAAGACCAATGGACTTATTAAAAAACAGGACCACAAACCAGAAGTCTTTCCAATTCCATTTCTTTTGATTAAATAAAATTTACTCTGATTTTAAACAACGGTCAGTACAAATAGGTTATATATTATTAGACTCCATAAAAAACTTTAATTATAACTAAAAAACCCAACTATAAAGGGTAAGCATCTAAGTATGGTTCCTGCTTAAAGAAAAAAAATAAATCATCAAAACCTAAGTAAGAGATTTCATGGGAAAATGAAAATAGTTCATATTGTTATGTCCCTTCCAACTGAACCACTCTAGTGTAGTGTAGTGTAGTCTAGTCTATAGAAAAATTACAGATCTTAAAACACAATCTTATTAGTATTTCTGCTACAGATTTGCAAAGATTTGCAGCCAGCATGAGATTAATATCCTATGCAATTCCTTTCATTAAGGTACTGCACATGAGAAATTTACTCCAGGCATGCCAATAGGAAGACCATTTAGAGATCAATCAGAAGGAATTTTTAGCTGGAATAAAATAATCAGACACAGTAACACTCTGGTATAGACAAGCAGAGTTAAACACAACTATAAAAAAAATTATATTGTAACAACATAATGAAATGGATTAGAATATTTAATTAAAAAAAAACCACCAGCAATACCTGTTTCTGGAGCTGCCAAAATGCCAGTGAAGTGATGGGCTATTTAAACAGAACCTTGTAAATGTGATGCAGCAGGGTGATGTAAATATGCCAAATTACATTAAAGGTTTATGTGGAGCTCACACTGAAGCAAAACAGCTACTATGAATCTAATACTGTCTCTTCTGTGGACCTGATACCATCATAACCGGGGAAAGTTACCATCTCAGCAAAAACTGAAGTCTGATATTTGAAATGATTTTACGCTTTTCAGGAAAAGCATACGTTTAAGTTGCAGAAGAAAGGCAAGTATTACTTTGTGTCTAGTACAATGTAAAGTACATAATAATTAGTTTTCTTCTGCTGGATTTAATGAAACTTTCATATAACTGTAGGTTTATAACATTTACAAGCTTGATAAATTCAAAATTCCTGGAAAATATTAAAAGGGAACATCTGACTTAACAGTTAATGAATGTGCCCTGCTAAACAGTATGGGACCTATAAAAAAAAAGACCAAATACCACAGGCTAAGGAATTCAATATTACTTAAGAAAAGAGCTTCAATCCAGGAAATCTGCAATCCCAAACAATCAAGAACATACCAGATACCTGATTAAAGGGACCACAGAATGAAAGAATATCCATTTGCCTAACTACGATTCTGGTTGTCCTGGTATTACATTGCTCCGTTAAATACTCTTTGGACAGATAGGGACTTTGTAATCTAGACTCTTGAAAGTATAAAAAAAAAATAAATGTGTGTGTGTCAGAGAATAATATATTAGATCATATTATCTCAAGCAGACAGGAATATACAAATGACTAAGTGAGCTAACAGCAAGAACCTACAGGCCCCCCTTCATAAGCTCCA